CCTCGACTTTGTCCGGGTGCACACATTCCAAATATGGGCCAAAGAGTGACTTTTTATAAAGTCTTCCTTGCGAATCCAAGTAGTATCGTATGGCTTTGTTTCGCAGCTTATGTGCTTCTTTCTTGTCCTCTGGGAGTTGTTCAGAAGATAGGAATGCAACAATGGGATCTATCCAACTTGGTGCTGATTCTATAACGTTGATTTGGACTTCCTCCGAAGGGCCAATGCTTGGCTCTGGGATGAATCCTACTTCGATGGTACGTTTAATCTCTGAGTTGATTGCGGAGGCTGGACAAGCCAAGGCATTTGCATGGGTGTTCTGATCACGTGTTATCTAGTTCAACTCATGATGGTCAAATTTTGCCAACAGGGAATTAGCCGTTTTCATGTAGGTCGCCATACGGTCGTTTCTTGCCGCGTACTCCCCCTTTAGTTGATTGATCACCAGTTTTGAGTCGCAAAACACAAGCAGACGCCGGGCACCCAAAATATGCGCATTTCGCAAATCGGCTAAAAGGGCTTCGTATTCGGCTTCGTTATTTGATGCTTCGAAGCCGAGCTTGATGGCCTGCTCAATTATTGCACCGTTGAGGGTCATGATTACAACTCCAGCTCCACTGCCCCACTGACTGGACGATCCATCACAATACAACTGCCAGATGTCCCCAACATAAATCCTCAAGTTCGACTTCGGTCGAATTTTATCTAACTTGAAGTCGGCAAGGCCCTCAGTGAATTCGACGATAAAGTCGGCAAGCAACTATCCCTTGATTGAGGTTCTGGGTAAAAATTGAATATCATACTGGCCAAGTTCCAGAGCCCACTTTGAAACATGTCTAGATGTTTCCGCACTGCGTAGTACTGATCGGAGGGGATAATCTGTTAGCACCCCAATGCTATGCCCCTAGAAGTAATGCATGAACTTCCTTGTTGCCATAACTAGGGCTAGGATGAGCTTTTCCAACGGAAGGTAGCGTGTTTCAGTGTCAACCACTGCCTTGCTCACATAATACACTGGCCACTGCTCCAATACGGCGCTGACGGCTCGGTCAAAAACTGCCAGGTACAAAATGAGCGGGTCGCCAACAGAGGGTGTTGTCAGGAGTGGTACTGAGCGGAGGCAGGTCTTCAGGCCGTTGAAAGCGGCTTCGCACTCAGCGGACCATTCAAAAGCCCTGCCCTACCGTAGTGTATGAAAGAATTGTTGGCAATAATCTGTAGACCGGCTGATAAACCTGTTGAGTGCGGCAGCCATCCCCATCAACTTTTGAACCTCCTTTACTGAGCGAGGGGAGCCGAGCTCTAGGATTGCTGTGATTTGCCTTGGGTTGGCTTTGATTCCTCTGTGGTTGACAATGTAGCCCAAGAATTTGCCAGAGCCGATACCAAACGCACATTTGGAAGCATTCAACTTCATTCCATATTTGCATAGGATGCCGAATGTCTCTTCCAGATCGGCTATATGATTTTGCTCTTCTTTAGACTTGACCACCATATCGTCAATGTACACTTCCATAGTTTTGCCGAGTTTCTCCTTGAACATGGTAGTGACCAGTCTCTGGTAGGTTGCCCCTGCATTCTTCAACCTAAAAGGCATTACCTTATAGCAATAGGTTCCTCTTGGAGTGAGGAATACAGTTTTCTCTTGGTCCTCCAGATGCATAGCGATTTGATGATAACCTCTATAGGCATCAAGAAAGCTCATACGCTGATGGCGCGCCGTAGCATCTACAAGCTGGTCTATCCTGGGAAGAGGAAAACAATCCTTTGGGCAGGCTTTGTTTAGGTCCGTGAAGTCGACGCACACTCGCCAAGTCCCATTTTTCTTTTTCACCACCACTCTATTAGAGAGCCATGTAGGGTAGGTCACCTCCCTAATTGCTCCGACGTCAAGCAGCTTGGCAACCTCCTCAACAATGATGGCAGTGTGCTCTGCAGCTGACCGCCGGCTTTTCTGAATGATCGGCTTGCACTTAAGATCGACATTCAAATGGTGTTGTGAAACTGACGGATCTATACCCGGCATCTCGTACGGATTCCATGCAAAGACATCGAGGTTACTGAGCAGGAAAGATATTAGCTGCTGTCTGTCGGCCTGATTCAAGGAGGCGCCGACCATGAAGAACTTGTCTGGGCTTCCATCGATTTGAACTCGTTCTAAGTCTTCCGTTGCCTTTTCATTTGGGAGCCGCCCAACATCGTCGAGGTTTTCTCGATCCGGCAACTCAATGGAATTCACCTGTAGTTCCTTTGGTGTTTTCTCAGCAAGGAGATAACATGCTTGTGCCGATTTCTGGGAGCCACGGATTTGCTCAATACCACGTTCTGTCGGGAAGCAGAGCAGCTGATGATAGGTGCTGGGCACGGCTCGCATAGTATGTAACCAGGATCGTCCCATGATGAGATTATACAGCGACGGCAGCTTGACGACCAAGAATCCCACATCCACTGTTCGGGAACCTGCTCGAACGGGAAGTCTGATTTTTCCCAATGGGTACTCTGGATTGGCATTGAAGCTGAATAGTGGATAAGGGGCCGGAGAGAGATCCAATTCGGAGAAGCCGAGTTTGGTGAATGTCTTGTAGTACATAATCTCCGATGTGCTCCCCAGATCAATGAGTACGCGCTCAACTATGAATCGGTTTACGCGCAACTCAATTACCAAGGGATCAATATGGGGCAGTGTTACTCTAGCCAAATCCGAATCATCAAAAGTGATAACCTCGGCTTCATGGGGCCATTTAGCCGGAGTGAGTTGCTCTTGAGGGTTAGACTTCGATTGAATCGCGTGCACCGTCGATGACATTGGCAGGCTGTATATCATGTGGATCATGCGGGGCGCACGTGAATCCTGTGTCAAGGCTATTGCTTTGGTTGGGTTGCTTTTTCGGACGTACTGTTGTAGCCGACCATCTTGTACTAATTTACCGTCGTACAAGGTGAATGACGGTTCTTTGAATTTCTTGGGTAGCACTGCCTTTGCAATCCGTCGTACAAAAAGATCATGTTGATCGTCATCCGAGCTGTTTCTTCTTCGCTTATGCCTTGTACGGGGACTCTCTTCAGAAGAACTGGAAATTTTAGATCGTCCCTTCTTCTTAGGCTCCGAGGATAATGAGTCGGAGTTTTTATCAGTATCTTGTTGTCGGGCTCGAGATCGTCGACCAGCTACCCTCACGGGTCGTTCCAGGCCTTGGTGTGCAGCTTGCTTGGACTTCGCCACCTCCAAGGCCAAATCCTGATGGAGATGTTCATTCTCTGCGATCATGTTCTCCAATATTTGTTCGTTTTGCTTTGCTTGTTCCAAAATCGCTTGCATTGCTTTGTGCTCCAAAGTCGAGGGTGAGGTGAAATTCAAGGCACATCTTGCGGCAATAGTCTCTGTTTCTAAGCATGTTTGTTGGAGTGGTTTCATCTGGCGGTATAGGGTCGACAGTGACTGTCGGAGGATCCTCCGTCATGTTCACCATAGATGTGCTTGAGTATTCCCACAGACGGCGCCAATTGTAGAGAAATGGTTTGGAAATACTCTTCTGATCGTAGGGAACGCTCGTGATCCTCTTCTAGTCACCTGAAAAGGAATAAACACTCCGGTCGGGAGTGCCGTAATTAGCACTCCGACGAACAAGTCAGTCTCAACGCTCAAGAATGCTTGTATTCTAAGTTTAGCAAAACAATTCTCACATACCTCATTCCGACTGATGCTTCTTCTATTTATATCTTTTCTTCTTTGGGCCTCAGGATTAGATCCATTTCCCACCTCATATTCGGCACATTTTATAATAGACTAATCTTCACTCGGCCCCTTGCTTAATCGGTTATTTGGCCGAGTATGGTTGGATTTGAGCTTTCGAGCCAATTGCCGAATGCTTCGAATCTCGACTCTCCCAGACTCGACTATCTGGAATCTCTACGACTCCCAATTCTTGGCCTCCACAATTATCATACCCTTTTTAATTTTTTCTATCTTAGCTTGACCTTTACATTACAACTAAATAGAAGTCCTATTTGATTTGTAGAGCGGTGGTTTTAGGGACATCATTTTAAAAACTAATCAGTGTGATTGGTTTGAGTTTTCTGCATTAAGTTTTTTGAAAATTGAGTTTTTTGTTTTTCATTTTTTTTTTTGTTTTTAGTGAATAGTTTTAAAATTTTAAACATTTTTTTTAGTTTTTTAGATGCACCTTACTTAGATATATCTAAAAAGTAAAAAATTTGTGAAAAAATATTTTAAAAAATTAATAAATACATAAAAATACAAAAAATATACTGAATTCTCGTAGTTTTTTTTATATTTTTGGTATTTAGTGAATTTTTAAAAGATTTTTTTCACAAATTTTTTACTTTTTATGCATATTTATGTTAGGTATGTCTAAAAATTAAAAAAAAATTGCTTAAAATATTAAAAAAATTCATTAAAAACAAAAAAAAAACACGAAAAATAAGAAGGTAGAATTTTTTGAAAACTGTTTTCAGAAAAACGAAACCAAACAAGCTGATTGAGTTTATTTACAATAATGGCATTGCCACGTCATTATTGTGAAGTTTTTTCTATGAATTTTATGTATGAATAGAGTTTTCCTATATGGAATATGGTTATTTGTGTCAAGGACATTCTATTACATACAAACAATGCCTTTTGTCAATGTGGCTTTTGTAAACATATTTTGCCAATGAAGTGGAAATTACCATTTGCTTGTGTATATATTCCTTCTATGTAAATCCTTGTCTGTGCATATGCAACATAAACACATATGCAAGTAATTTCTTGGTTAAGATTATCTTTTTTAATTTGGGATATTTCACAAATATCCTTAATCAAGATTGGTAGAAAGTAGGAGATTTCTTTCTTGCTCTTCTTATTTTAATGTTAAGTTTCCAATGTCAGTGTCATAAGCCTTCCATTTTGTCTAACCACGTCTGCTCTAGTAAGAAAGTTTACCTTTGAATTTTGAACTGCTTCGTGAGTTAATGCTTTAACAATGTCATTTTGATTACAGGGTTACTTAGATCCTGAATATTACATGACTCAACAATTGACTGAGAAGAGTGACGTATATAGCTTTGGTGTGGTGATGCTTGAACTGATAACAGCTAAGCAACCAATTGAGAAGGGAAAGTATATTGTCCGCGAGGTAAGAATGGCAATGGATAAGAATGATGAAGAACACTATGGCTTGAGGGTGCTAATAGACCCAGCCATAAGAAACATGACAAATCTTATAGGGTTTGGGAGGTTCTTGGAGTTGGCAATGCAGTGTGTAGAAGAATCAGCTGCCGATCGTCCAACAATGAGTGAAATAGTGATGTATCTAAAAAGTAAAAAATTTGTGAAAAAATATTTTAAAAAATTAATAAATACATAAAAATACAAAAAATGTACTGAATTCTCGTAGTTTTTTTTATATTTTTGGTATTTAGTGGATTTTTAAAAGATTTTTTTCACAAATTTTTTACTTTTTATGCATATTTATGTTAGGTATGTCTAAAAATTAAAAAAAATGCTTAAAATATTAAAAAAAATTCATTAAAAACAAAAAAAAAACACGAAAAATAAGAAGGTAGAATTTTTTGAAAATTGTTTTCAGAAAAACAAAACCAAACAAGCTGAATAGTGTGGTGATTTCAAATTCTTAGTATTTAACATTGTTTTTATGAGACAATATGTACTCTTTCTTATTAGCATTTTTTCAAGTAAGTAGTATGCGAGATATTTTGATTTTCACTTACATTCTACTCGCGTATATTGAGAATAATTTTGCACCTATTTTGGAGTGATTTATTTGTTGAGTGCAATATCTGGAGAGATTTGACTCAAAGCGCATGTCTAAAAGAGATTTGAGTTGTGTTTGACTTTAAGATTATGATTGTATTTGTGTTGGCTAAACCTATTATTATGAGATATCTTAACTTGTAGCGATTGCTCTTAACTTCGATTGATTTTTGTATTAAGATGATGAGATTCATAATTTTGTACTTGAACTATCTTCATGAGAATGAAACAAAAATATTGAGGATAAGTTTTTAATTTTTTGGGTATATTTACTACAAACCCTCACGAGACTATATTCATCCATATGCTAAATGCAATTGAGAGTTCTACAAAAGTGGATTATATTATATTTTGTTTTTTTCTTTACTTGGACTAGACACGTTTTACGATGTTTAAGGTCATGACAATAAGAATCAGGCACGTTCTACAACACATAAGGTTGTAACAACAAAGACTAGACACGTTCTACGAAACACAAATCATGCATGCGGCAAAATATGAGAACTATCGATTTAATTTGCCCTAAAATATTTAACAACTAAGATCAAAATTATATAAATCCAATTGCTATGAGTTGAGCTGCATATTGTGTATGATATGCCTTTTAAGGGGTTGTATTGTAGTTGGACTTAAGACCTATAAATACACATTGACTTTTATTATATAAAGTATAAACAAGGAAAATTTGTGATTTGCACTCTTAAAAAGACAAATAATATGAAAATTATGATTTTTATAGTGAGGATTATGAATATTTGTGGTGTGTAATGTTAATTTGTGGGAAAAGTTATGAATGATAAATTTATAATGTGCATCTTAAAAAGTTTTGTGGTAAGCAAAATGTTATACTTTTTGTGGTAAATTTTTTTTGTGATTTTATTATGTAATGCGCACCATAAAATCACTTTTAAGGATGTATAGTAACATCTCTTATGAATAATAATTTTATGGACATATTTATGTATCGTAATATATGCCACCGTTGTCGTAATATAGTGATAGAGATCCTTTAAATTAACACAATAATGATCATATGAATGTGATTCACTATTTTTTTTTTTCGATCGGCAAATAAATCTTTATTGATGAAACATACAAAGTATGATTAGATACATCAATAAAGAGGAGCTTGGAGCTAACACAAAGCTCCAAGCGCCAGTTGGTGAGAAGCCAACAAAAAGGAAAACAAAAGAAGCTGCCACATAAACAAACAGAGAAAAGAATAACACCAAAAAACCAAAAAACCAGATAGGAGCCTCTTGGGCATTCATCCCATTGAAAATCAACCCATGAGCATTCATCCCATTGACATTCCTCCCAATGACACCAAAAAACCAACCACCTAACACAATGACATTCATCCCATTGAAGCATCCAGCATGAAACACCATATCAGATGCAGACCAGCAGAAGAGCTACCTAGCAGCAGACTTCCACCCAAAACCCCATCAGTTGCATTCGACCAAGTGCACCCCACAGAAACCATTGCAAATACACCCAATATTCAAACCAATAATCAATGCAAATGGATAACTGCAATTTCTCATCAAAATAACAACTAGTCTCCATTCACTTCACAGCAGAAAAAAACAATCAGCAAAACAGAGCTCTGCCTCCATGCATTGATAGACAACCCACCACCGTAGTAGTCCAGACCATTCACACATTGAAACTCAATAATTTTATTTGCATTGACATATATATACGATCCAATATATTCCCAATGCTTCAATGCCTAACTACAAACAGACCACCACACTGCTCCTAGGCCAGTGCATAACGAACAGACCTTCTCTGCAGCCTTAAACCAACCACTGCAACCCTTCGAGAGAATAACAGAGCAGCTCATAACCGCCTGGGACTAGAAAGAACCAGCTTATACCAGAATGGACAAGACAGAATAACAGATCAGACTAGGAACCAGATCAGAAGAGATTAACTAATCCAATGGACCAGATCAGAAGAAGCAAAATAGTAGAACAGTTGAGGTAGATTAAACAGATCAGAAAAGAGGAAGCAGATTAATATCACAGCAGCAAACCAAAGCATCAAGAAACACCCTTGGAACCATTCCCAAGCAAAACCTGATGTGCTCCATATTAAAAATGAAATCATGCACACAGAACCTACTATCCTTAAATACCTCCTTAAACCAAACATCCATTCTTACCTTAATCAGATCAGAAACACCCTCCCCACTTGGGGTAACATCTCGAAATAAGCATTCATTGTGATGGTTCCATAGAGTCCACATAACAACCAAAGGAAGAGCTTTCCACATCAACCTCACATTTTTCCTAAACCTCACCCCGGCCCACCAGTCAAGAACAGCTTCCACTGAATTTGGCAGGGCACCTTGAACATCCCACCATTTTAGTATTGCAGACCATACACTCCAAGCCACTTGGCATGACAGTAGCACATGGTTAAGTGACTCAACCCCAGACTTGCACAGACAGCATACTGAGGGTGCATTAGCATGCAGAACACCAATCCTGGTAAGAAATTCAGAAGTCTTTAATTTTCCTTTCCAAGCAAGCCATCCAAAAAATTGAACTCTAGGTGGAATGTGTTTTACCCAAATCCTTTTACTGATTGGACTAAGGCTACCGAAACCCTCTGCGATAAATCTGTACACTGATTCAACCGAAAAACTCCCTGTTTTTGAAGCCATCCACACTAGCGTATCTTCTTCAGAGTTCCTAAGAACTGAGCCTGCCTCTAGCTGGTTTATCATTCTGGTTGCCTCCAAACTTTCCCAATCATACAATTCCCTTCTAAGCTGGAACACCCACTCACCAGCATCCTCCTTCCTATCCAGCATTACAGCTAGAGTCACACCCTTTTCACCTACCAACCTATACAAGAGTGGGAATTCATCTTTGAGACATAAGTTGTTACACCATTTATCCACCCAAAACTTAACTCTATGGCCATTCCCCACTTTCACCTTACAGTTATTCAGAAAGAACTCCAGCAGATTGCTACTCTGATCAGAACCTGATAATATGTCTTTCCACATTTTAGAAAACCTGTTAATGGGGCTAGCAGGAGGGTTCCAACTCCCCTCCTCTAACCGATATTTGCTGCAAATGACTCTCCTCCACAGAGCTTTGTTCTCAACCCCGAACCTCCACCTCCATTTCAACAAAAGGCAATTATTAACCTCCTTAACTCTCCTAACCCCCAAACCCCCTTGCTGCACTGGTTTAGCTACTTCCTTCCATTTTACCAAGTGAACCTTCCTCTTCAATTCAGAACCACCCCAGAGGAAAGAAGCCTGAATCTTATCCAGGTCTCTGGCTACCCCTTGAGGCAATTTATACAATGACAGATAATAAATGGGCAGAGAGGACAGAACCGACTTAATTAACGTAAGTCTCCCAGCAAATGAAAGTAATTTCCTTTTCCAGCCTGATAATTTACTTCTAAACTTGTCCAGAACAGGCCTCCATGTTGCTTTCCTACTTGGGTTAGCACCCAATGGGAGTCCAAGGTACTGAAATGGCATAGTTCTTACTTTACAATTTAGCACTGAAGCAAACTCCAACATCTCCTCATCTGGAACACACACTCCACTAACAATGCTTTTGTGGTAGTTTATCTTAAGACCTGAAAGCATCTCAAAACACCTCAGAATCTTCTTAAGATTTCGCACCTCCCGAACATTAGCTTCACACAATATTAGTGAATCATCTACAAACTGAAGGTGAGTAAGTTCCACCCCACCGGTGCCAATCTTCACCCCTTTTATTATCCCCAAATTCAAAGCTCTTGACATTAAAATGCTCAACCCCTCTGCAGCTATATTAAACAAGAAGGGAGACAACTGAATTCCTCAGTAGGAGCTCCATTGACAAGTACAGATAATCTCACAGAAGTTATACATACCCTAATCCACTGCACCCATTTCTCGCCAAACCCAAAATTTTCCAACATAGAGAACAGAAACTCCCAATTCAGTGTGTCAAAAGCTTTCTCAAAATCAAGTTTTAAAATCAATCCTCTCTTCCTAGATTTCTTCCAACTATCCACAACCTCATTAGCCACCAACACACCATCTAAGATGTTCCTGCCTCCAATAAATGCTGTTTGATTCACACTAATGATGTGAGGGATGACTGCCTTCAACCTTGAGGATAAAACCTTACTGAGGATTTTATACAATGACCCAACCAGACTTATAGGTCTGTAATCGGCTAAGCCCATAGGATTCTCCTTCTTAGGGACCAAAGTAATGAATGAACTGTGATTTTGGTTCAAAACATGCAAACACATTCTATTTCAAGGGTACACAAATAATATGAAGCTAAATACTCAAAATCATGGTTCAATTTTCCAAAATCAATCAACATTCTTGTACAATCATGGCTTATGCTTTCAAATCCCATATGAGCTTCATATCTTCAACAATCAAACATGCATGCAATCTTTTAACTCCAATTCCATTTCAATTGGGTCAAATGATGCTTAAACACATGAAATTCATCCAAATCATGCTTACATGTATGGCCCTACAACTCAATTCTTCATGATTAACAAACTACATGATAGATTACACAATCCTTGCTCATTTATGATAATTCTATGCATGTATGTACATTCTAGCTTCATTTTCGACTAAATCGTTGCCATAAGCTCCCAAATCACTAGAATTCACAAAATCACAAGTTCAGCTCATGAATTAGGGGTTGATCACTCACCTAGGAGCTTCAAACACTCAAGTTCTTTGGAGTTAAACTTCAAATCTCCAAGCCTTGAGCCAAAATTGCACAATTCTCCCCCTTTCTCTCTCTATAGCCGGTCTCTCTCTCTCACTAGAGTATAAGCTCAGATTTTGGAACTCAAACAAATGAGGGTGAGTGCAAGTTGGCCTATTAATAGGCTCCTTTGATCAAATTTCATTAATATTAAAATAGTTGAGCACTAACCCATTAAATTAATCTAATTAATCTGATCCGAATCAATTTTCAATTAAATTTCACCGTAGGCTCTAAAAATTACGCCAATCACAATAGCGTAATCAATTTCGGTTTCTGTGGCCGATAAGGTCTTCAATTTAAATTCCAAAGCAGAGAATCAAACAGATATTCCTACGGTGAACAGATAGAAATTTAAAACCACATATTTTCACATAAGTGGCACACAAAATCATATCAAACACATA